TCACTTATCAACTGCAGTTTGGCTGGAAATTTTAGTTGAACATTTCATTCACAGTTCAAATCGAATATTAGTTTTTTCAAGACTACAAAACAATTGCGCAATGCTTATGTATATTCTTCTCTTGCTTCTTAATATTACAGCGTACTTATATCTGGTGATATTAATAAAGTTTATATGCAAAAGTAATATGTGTAAAACAATGTGGCGTTTTAAATAAAAAACGGGCATCTGAAGTTTCTGAAAACACACATCTTTCAAACAGGGTTTTTCTGAGGATTTTTTACATCGACTTATCAACTGCAGATTAAGAATGAATTCTGGTTTTTACACTTTCTTCAATCTGCTCTTTGGAAGAGGTCTACAGAAATTTGAAAAGCTTTTGTATATTCTTCCTTCAGTCTGTAAGTATAGAAACTAAAAATCGGAAAATTGTTACTCTTTCTTCTCCAGTGAAATATTAAGTATGAAATTTCCAATGAAAACTTTTCGTTCTCATATTCTCCCATTTTCGCTAACTGGGCGTTTCAATTTGAATACTCGCAAACAGAGTGTACCTATGTATGTAAGTGTTTTGTGGCGCACTCGCTTATCGTGCTAAAGGCTATTGTAATGCAGATTTTCAAATTACGCACAAAGGCTTTTATCCGAAATTAGTATTCGCCACGCATCAGGCAAATGAAGTAATTCTTTCGATTTTTTTTTTTTTGTTTTTTTTTTTTTTTTTGCTTTGCTAAAAAGAAATTGAATGTAGGCGAAATGAGTGAATTACTTCAGCGAATATACCTACAGGCCCAATAATGAATTTTTTATACCAAGTAATAAAATTGAGCTCACAATTAGACGTGGATATGTATATGCTGATGTATTTATATAAATTTATACTTTTTCATATCTATAAGATCTGCTTACATTCTGAGACAGGTACTAAGTGTAGTTGGATTTTAATTCAGTAAAAAATGGTGACTCTATTTGCAACAATATTCCAACTCGGAGAGATTGGGAAAGTATAATCTGACAATTCCAGATTGAAGAATAAAATTCTGGTCACCTCAATTTCCTGGCCAATTAGTTTGAATAATTTAGCAGTCCCCGGAATGGTTACATTTCTATATTTATATTATATCTACAACTTTGCTTCCATCAAGCACTGGCCGATTAAATCGCTTTATATCGATCTTGGACATTTGTGTCAAAATTAACCCAACAAAATTTTTGTAGAGATCTGTTTGCATCCCAAACTTATTCTCAACTGAAAATGTCACTTTTTGAGCCGAATTCTCGTCATTTGCGGGGAATTTTGCTTTTCTTATTTAATTTCAAGAAAAGTGCGGCTGCGGACCCGTCCACCAGTCCCTTTACTGAGGCTGACTCATACATAGATAATACTATTACTCTACTACTACCATGTATATGATTTCTATTAGGTATTAAAAAAATATAGAATTTTTGTAAAGAAACTTGTGTTAATTAAGCATTGCTTTTTGAGGGAATAAGGGAAAACACTTTTGGACCCTTTTTGTACAATAAAGCCTTAAATTTAAAAAGAAAAAAGGCGGAAGCAAAGTACAATTTTTCTTTTTAAGCAATTTTGTGTAACCTTAAGGTTTTTTATCCGAAAATATATATTTATTCAATATTTATTTTTACCTTATCTTCAGCCATGGTCTGCTTTTCCTTTTTGGCATAACAATGAAGTGATCTGGTTGGAATATCGTTTCACCTATTTCAGAAATCAAATGTGATTTCAAAATCAAATGCCTTGTTCTGAAAACGAATTCTCATATTTTAATTTAATTTGAAAACGAAACATTCTTTGCGTGTTATTTTTTCTCTGGGGGAATATTTTTCTAGTTATAGTTCTACAATAACTTCAGCGTCAGGATACCCGATCATCGTGTCATTTTTTAAACAGAAGTGGTTTCATAAAAGCTAGCAGAAGATGTATTGCTCCGTAGGCTCTTCTTCGGGCTTACCATTCATTACAACAGTAAAGCGGCTGTACTTAGCTTTGAGCTCGCTGGCTAAGCAGTCAAGAATACTTAAGAACAGTCTGCCCACACTATCAATAGTATCCTATTTAATTTATTCTTTATTTTGGGATTCTTATTGCTCAGTGACTGAAAGTGATATTTTCGCCCTTAACAGATTAATGCCAGTTTCAAGGTGCTTTATCAACAAAGCAGATATCATAGTTAACCGATGTTTCGTGCTGTCCAAGTGGGATCACTTCTGTTTTCATGAATATCAGTCCAATAGCCATTTGAAAACATTCTTTTTCTCCATGTTGCAGATTAAATATCATTAAGCTAAAACAATGTTAAAATAGTCAGCAATATTATAATGTATAATTTCAAGAGTACATCAGCAACTTCAAACGGATTTCAATAGCTTGCGAAGTTAATATTTTGCAAAACACAGAGACGCTATAAAGTATATATATAAATGATCAGCGTGACAAGGTGAGTCGATTTAGTCAGGTCCGTCTATCTGTATAAGACGTCAGTTAAAAGTTAGTTAAATTAAATCTAAATGATTTTTTGCTATTTCTAACTTTCAAAAGGCGCGTGTACTTGGCTGTTTCACCAAGGCAATGCACCGTGTTACAAGTCAGTGAAAACGATGACAAAAACCATTAATTGGGCTTTACATGGCTTTTGCCAGCAACTATTTCCTGCCCTCAGATCTCAGAAGAATGCTCACTGTTAAGAAATATTTGTCGAGTGAAGAGATGATCGGAGAAATTGTGGCCTATTTTGAAGCAAAGCACAAATAGAGCGAAAAGTAGTAATCAGTGTATAACTCTTGAAAATAACTAATTTGAATAAAAAAACGAATTTTCCAAAAAAAATGTTTTTTTGCTATGGTAGATCGGAAACTTTTTAATTAACCTGTTATATGTGAACTAGTCCTTTAGTATTTGAAGTATCGATTAGGAAATTTGCAGCCGCTCTTCCTCACTAAGGAGCAGAACCATTGTTATCGGACAACTATAGGCCATAGCTGCCATACAAGCTGAACCATCGAGATAAAGTGCTTGCACAGAAAGAGTTTTTGTTTGACGAGATATCTTCCTAAAGTGGCTGCATATTATTATTTTAACCTTTTTTAATATATTATCTTCTTTGTCTAAAGCTGTTTTTCTACTATTGTTCGTTTTTGGTTTTAAAAATTATCAACTCTGGTCTGTATATGTAAATATATTAATAAACAAAAAAAAATTAATAAAAATATTTAAAGAGAGATTTCCTTGATTTATATTCCACAACACATATCTAATTTATTACATTTTTAAGCCCAAAACTTTATTGTCATAACCTCTTAGTATAGGATGCTTTTTTCGGAGGTACATATATAATTTCACATAGAGAATGGAATTAAATGTCAAACTGATTGTCAAATATTTTTCAAATATTATTATTATTAGCTATATAGACAAATGGTCTCTTATCTTTCGCATCCCGATCTTAATCGAAATAGATTATAAGTTCTCCAGTAATATATTACTATAACCAGCACAGCAGCATTGCTTTATTGCGCTGAACCTTTTTCCGTAATATTATAACTTCATTAAAAGAGAGAACTTTCTGCTAAAAAAAAGAATTTGCATGCTCCTAAAAACACCCCCTATATTTAATTCACACACCTACACATTGCGAATGTAATAAATGAATATGACTTAGAAAATGTCCAAATATTAATATGGACTTCCCGGTGTGAATATTATTTGGATTATAATCGCTAGCCAAGCGGCATTTGTGTACATCCTTTCACATATGCACACCAATACAGCTGTCCAACAACAAAACATGTCGTTGCCATGTGCTTACAGCAAACACATATACACAAACCACACAACAGAAAGGCTGGAGTCAGCATGTGACCATTTGAGTCACCAACTGAGATTCAAAATCCAATTATTCATCCATGATTACATGGAAATGTCCTTATCGCTAACGAACAGCGCACATGTTCCAGCCGACCGACCGACTGTCTGCCTGCCTGGCTGCTTGGAGGCTGACCGGTGAGCCAATACAACCGCTTACAAAACCAGCACGACAGGCAGCGTTCAATGCAAAACAAGCCAAGAATATCGGTGAGAATATGCTTGAATGTCTGTGTATTTTGCACGTAGCTGCGTGCGTGTGCCACTTAGGTATCTATATCCGAATACCTCGTTATTAGTCCTCTTTGAAGCACACCTGCTGTTGGCAGCTACAAAGGACCAGCACTGCTGCCGAGCCTCGTCGACTTAGTCGAACACATGAATTCAAAGGGACAAATGAATTTCATTAGAGGAGTGGGGAGTTTTTATAGACAGTTTATGTGATTTTTGGGTAATTTGTGCAAAATGTTTAAATGGCAATGAGCTGAAGTGAAGATAGAAGTTATAAGGAAGATAGTGGTTTCAAAGGGATAATAATAAGAAAACATTAAAGATTGAAAGAAAATAAAAAAGTTAAAAATTGCCCTCGTTTCGCCAACTTACAAGAGTTGAATATATTATTTGTGTATATGCCTAAATGTATGCTTGTATACAGTCATTGGGATGCATTAGTTAGCCATTGAATGAGCAATTAAGTGTATTTATTTACCAGCATTCAACATTTCGGCTTAACAAACATGATAGTAATAATAATTACCATTATTTACATAATATGAGCAGAATTCTTGCTGTGCACTTCTTTTTTGAAACGAATTATGGGTGTCCGTATCTCCGCATGTCGTGTACACTGGCATGTCGTCATAAATTCAACCCTGTGGATATTTAAAGCATTTCGCTGACCACCTACGTGCATGTTTCGATTTTAATTGAATTCTGTGGCTGTCAATTTCGAAATTTTTGGAAAAGGAATAAAACCCTTTTTGGCAAAAAAATCAGCAAGTTGTAAATAATAAAAATAGTTTAGGAGCGGAAAATTAACAAGTGAAAAAAGTATGTTGTAGTGACTTTATTGTAACCTATTTTATTTTATTGAAAATAATTTATGTTTTTTTTTCAGATTTTAACGGCACTGAAGGCATAATTGTATGTAAGTATCGATTTCGTTTTGAAGCTTGAAAGGGAAAATTCTTTAAATTAAGCCCACATCCATATAACCCTTATTCTTCTACAAAAATGGCATTAATTCACTAACTAAATAAGTCAGAAGCATTGAGTTTCGAACTGGAAAGGCTTGCTTAAAACTCAATGGCTCTAAGGCGATATTTAATATCTTAGGAACTGCTCGATCTATATCAACCGAATTTGGTGCTTAATATTTTCCTGACACTCTATCATTTAAAACAACTTTCCATTTAAAACAATTTTTAACTTCGTTTGAAAGTCCAAATATTGGGTAGTTGAAAAAGTCTTTTCGTATTTCTAATCAAACTTCAACATATATTTTATATTTATAATAAACTTTAAAGAACCAAATATGTACCATATTGGTCGACCATTTCTTGCCATTTTTTCGCTAGAGACATTATTCCGCCAATGTAAAACTTTTCTGGTTTGTCCGCGAAAAACTGCGACAAGTAATTTTCAGAGGCTGCTATTGAAACCAATCTTACTCCATTAAGGAAGTTCTGCATTGACCGAAACAAATGGTAGTCTGGAGCTGCTAATAGTGGATGATTCCTTTCCAATCCCACCAAACGCTATGTCATGGCTGCTTATGTAACAATCCTGGTAAATTTTTTCATTATTTTCACTTATTTTTGAACAACGGTAACTTTTTTTCAACTTCCCCAATGTGACTGTTTCGAGCACCAATAGTATCCTCAAGGTACGTTGGCCGCTCTAAAATAGTATAATATTGTTTCTAAATAAAATTTAAAACCCTAATATCGAATATGTAGACCTCTGTCGACATGAAACATTTTAAATATGACCTCGACTTTCATCATTGAAAATTAAGTTTAAAATTTTCTGTTAAACCCAAACTTAGGCCTCCTTTACTTATTGTGATTAAAGTTGAAAATCATTTTGGATTTTGTACGAAAGTCAAAACTTGTGAGTCCTTTTTTCGTCCGCAGAGCCCTACATTGACAGCAGCTCTATCGAAAAGCCTTCTACAGTCGTAATTTTGCTTTAAATCTCAGAAAATTTTACATCCTGATTAGGAATGCATTATCTAAATATTTTTATATTCCCTCGCGCTGTCAGCATTTAAATTTCTTTCCATTTTTTGACACACTCAAATCTACCACATAAAACAAATACATATTTCCCCAAAATATTCAGATAAACCACACAAATTGAGTTACCTCCTCTTTAACATCGCAACTAAACCTGAAAAAAAGATCACATACGTATGTACATGTATGCGAGTATTCGCTATCTCGTTATCCCGCGGGCGACGAACTGTTGCTGACAGCTTTATTCTTGCGCTCGCTCCAATCACATTATTTCCACCACGCCTGCTGTACATTGCGGGACTGGTCACTGTTGGTCGGTCAGTATAGCCCTCGGGCGGCAGCGCGTAAGTACGGACATTAATTTTCAATCAAATTTCGTGTTTAATGAAATTGAGGAAGTTTCACGTTATTGCATACAATATTCAATTTTCAAACTTAACATCTGCACAGCCACACTCACACGACAATCTTAACTCGAGTGTCACCAACACGAAATGGCTTACTTCCTCCGTGACCCATCCCCTTTTATGTGCACAAATTGTGCCCTCTACCGTCACCATATATACATATATATGTATGTGTGTCCACATATCTGCTTATCCTTCGGATAATTATGTTTGTGCATATTTTGCATCGATAAATGCAAATGTGGTTAAATTTCAATTAAATGGCATATTAATTTAATTTTGTCTCAATTTGTTGTGGCCAGATGAGCTGGGTGTCAGGCTTTGCGGCGCCTCTGCCACACTCTCAATCGTGCATGGTCAGATTCTAGGCAGCAGGGGTGTTGCCATTAAGCAGCGCTGTCTTCTGATTCATAATCTAGTTTTGTTCCGTTAGTTTTCTATGCCACATGCTTCAATTCATGGCAAATTGCATGCTTTAGTGATAAATTGAATTGGTTTGAATTTGGTGTGTCAATTTGGTTGATTTCAATTAGAGGTTTCGTGAATGCATTGCGCTTTTCTAGTAAAATTATTTTAGTGTGTTTATAATCTGCTCCGAGTACATTTGGATGACTGCAGGTAGAAAAATTAATAAGAAGTTAACCATTTCTATTTCTCAATTTTTTGGAGCCTTTTGTTTTCACCTCCAATATAGCAACATTCGATTTAGTCGTAAAAATTATGGTTACGATGCCACTTTCATTTAAATGGTAGTAAAGAAATAAAGTTTATCAAAAATGATGCTTTGGTCTAACTTCCAACAAGCATAACCACAATAAGTGGCGAGGATATGTCGACAAAGTACTTATTGGAACCTCGGGGTCAATTTTCGGCCATTCTTAGATACCGCTAACGCGGTTATAACGGACTTAACGACAGCGCGCCTGTCATTTGTTCTTATCGCAATGTGGTGTAAATTGGAGATTCCAAGCGAAGCGAGTTGCTTCTCCGCTTGCTTCCACCTATTCTTTCCAACGGAAGACCTCCACTTTCTCTTCCTCTGCTTCTCCAGGCGGGTATTGCGTCGAGTACTTTCAAAGCTGGATTCAATTCGGACGATATGACCATTCGGACTGCATGTCCTAGCCAGCGTAACCAATATATTTTAATTCGCTGACCAATGTATGTCAATATCGTCATATATCTCGTAAAACTCATCGTTCGATCGAAGCAGTATCCGCCGTGGCCAATGCGCAAAGGATAATAAATCTTTCGCAGAACTTTTCGAACTCGAAAACTCGTAACGTCGACTAATCAGATCTGGTCATCGGTCATATAGCAGGACGGGAATAATGAATGACTAATAGAGTTTGGTTTTTGTTCTTCGAGAGAGGACTTTACTTATAAATTATAAACTTAGTAAGAAGTACACCTGTTGATAAAACTTATTCTGCATTGGATTTCGAAACCGCCCTTGTTGTTTCTGTTAATACTGGTTCTAAGATAGACAAAGTTACCTTATCGACTTCGAAGTCATAACTGTCAACAGTGACGTGGGAGCGTAGTAGTGAGTGCGACGACTGTTTGTTTGATGACAGGATATATTTCGTCTTGCTCTCGTGCACTACCAGCTCTTCCGAAGCTATTTTTTACGTTTATTGGAGGACGTTCTTAACGTGGCGGTTCCCAAACCCACCGCACAATCCTGAGGAGGGATGGTTCGGATACTTGGTCTAAGACCGGAAGTTGTGAGCTACTTGAGCCATATGTTAAAGAATCGTTTCTGATCTAACACAATAGTACAATCGAAAATTATAATTTTGGTTTATCCAAAAATTAAAGATCGATAAATGAACTCACTGATATCAGATTTTAATTTCTTAAATGCCCAAAGAAAATATTTAAAAACTTCAAAATATTACCCAAAGTCACTGGAGAGATGTGTTTTTTTTTTTTTTTTTTAATTCTGAACATTATTAGAACAATTAGAAAAACTAAAAATTTCAACGAATTTTTGCTTCTTAACACAAGTCATACATTATATTTGAAAACACAATTGGGGTAATCAGAACGGGATTAGAAACTTTGAAAATGAAGATATAGTTAGTCATATATGTTTCTAAAAGACCTACAAACTTCAATAAATTAATCGAAAATACGAGATATACTTCACATTTTTTTCGAATTTTTAAAATAAGAAGGAATACAATTTTCAAGTATAGATATATTAAATCAGTAGTTTTCAGAAAGATGTAAAATTTTCGACATATTAACCGAAGATTAAAATGATTTATTTTTTATAGAATTCGAATTTATATACATTTGTTATATTAAAACAGTTAAGTTTTTTACAAACTTTGCCAAATTTTTACATTACATGATTTACTAATAAATTATTTATGTATAAATATTTGAAGAAGTAATTGAAGGAAAGAAGAAAAAAATAGGAAAATGTTAAAGTACTTATTTAAATACCCTTAGAACAGCATTATAAAGATGCAAATTAGTCATATTGGTTTCTGAAACATCTAGGAACTTCAAATTTGCTTCCAAATTCATCGAAGCGGAGTGCATCTTCATAAAATCAGATCAAAATGAAAAAATTTTGATATGTAATATATATTTCAAGAAAGGATTTCAGGAAATAATTTATAAAATGTTAAGACACTTCTTTATATACGCTTATTATATCTTTGTTGGGATATAATCTAGTCATATAGATTTCTGGATCTACAAATTTCAAAGCATTAATAGAACCCACCAATGGAAGCCAGATCATCACTATAATTGAAGAAATGATTGAGAAAATTGGAACGAAAGAAAAATGTTAAAATACTTCTTATATACACCAAGTGAGGCGTAATGGTGACATAGTACAGTCATATATGTTTCTGCATGATCTACAAACTTTCATAAATTAATTCAACAAAGAAAGCTTCACTCAATCGTCTAATAATTTCATACACTGACTGCATGTATAGGGCAAAGTAACAAGTTTGACGGATTACTTTGTGAAATTGGCTTGGATTTTTTTTCTGCCAAGAGCTGCTTGGTATTATTTATATAGTCTGTAGCTAACTTAACAAAAAAACGCTATTCTTTCGCATGTTGATAAATGTGCATTTTACTAATGACTATTCAATGAGGCTGAAAAAATTAATCGAAGAAAGGCAGCTTCACTCAATTGCCAAATAATTTCATGCACTGACTTGATACATAAGCTGAAGAGGAATATTTCCTGAGATAAATGGATATTGGAAAAAATTAACATTAACTATCTCTTAAGGTGTTCTCAAAACTTATGTACTCAATACCTCGCGTGTACAGTCTCTAACACACTCAGCACCAAAAGCACTTACATCAACCCTCCAAACTTCGATAGAAAATTAAATATGCTTACAAACGTCATTAAAAAAAAATAGGCACAAAATATAAAAGTCGCTTAATTCAATTAACTTTACTACCGCTGTCGCCCAGTCGCTTTTAGTACTCCTTAGTTCAACTAATTTAACTTTATGCAGCGC